GTGCTTGCCTAAAATCACAGAAGTTGCAATGACGTGGCACACTGCACTCATTTTAATGTATCCAAGAATATAAAACTGGCCTTTACAAAGTGACCTATCTTGGCTAGTGTTCTAATGGACAAGTATTTTGTAAAATACAGTCACATTTTGGTTATAATATATTAAATATTCAAATACATTATTACTATTTACAAATAAGTTCTTAAATTTCAATTATTTTTCTTAAAACATAAAACAGTAAATAAAGTAGTAGAGCAAATAGTTATCTCTTCTAGTTATGAACTTTGAAATCGTTTGCTGCTTGACATAGATTGCTAAGCCTAATCAAATTTCGCAAGTGGAGGATATGAAACCAAATATTTTCTTTAGGTCTTATAAAAACATTTTGAAATAACCAAAAATCATAAATCACTATATCAATACCACAGAATTCCACTATAATTTATCAAGCTTAGTAACTAAGTTGTACTTGGGTCTAAAAAATATCAAATTTCAAGCTCACTTACGTCTTACCTTACCACTTGGACTCTAGCATGAAAAGAACAAGGCTGAGAAAGCCACTAGGGAGACATTCTGAGCTTCAGAATGGTTATACACACGTCATAGAGCAACTTAGGTGTACGTAAGCAAGTATTTTCCAAAACTGAAGAGCTGGGTGGGGCCATCTTGGTTGATTCGATAAATATATTAATATCTCAGCAAATAGAAAAGATAGGAGGTTCTTATTTTACATTCTAGCTATTCGATATCGGCAATTTGAATATCTAATTCGTAAGAAACTACAGACTTTGTATTTGGACTTCACAAACATCTAATTTGAACCAGTGCTGCATTCAACATACCAAGTGACACACAAAAATCAATGTTTTAACTGTTTTTTTTATATTTCCTTTTAAATTAAGAAATTGAGTAATGTATAATACTAAAATTTGAATTATAATCTACAGTTTGATACCAAACTTATTGACATACATTCATAAAATAGTAGTTCAATAAAATTTCGAATGCAAGTCAACAAATGCGATGACATTGTGCTTTGACCTGTGTCAATAGGGTTAATTTGTACAGACATTATATGTTGTCCTTAACATTTTAATTACTCTCTTTCTTTATTATGGTGTGAAACAAGACTGCTTGAGCCTATAACTATTCTGTTAAATATTAACTTTTCTTAGCTTAGAAAAAATATGAGATGTTTTAATTCTGAAATAACCTGAAATTTGGTCACTGATAAATAAAAAGTTGAAAATATTTCCTGCAGTCTTCTTAATTAATATGAAAAAAAAATCAAGAAATGCCAAAATATTAATATGCATGATATAATGCTTTCATGATTTTTAATTGGAAAGTAAGAAATGCCTAAGTTGACATAGATCAGAAATAAAGAATATTTTTCTAATTCATTTTTTTCTAATCTGCTGATTAAGAACATTTTTATTTTCTAGTTTTGAACAGACATACAAGTTTTCACTAAGTTGTTCATCGCAGCAGTAAACTATACAACCTATTAACTTGTATATTCAAAGCTTTTTTGATGTGCTTGAATTATTGAGAGATCAACGTTTTTTTATTTCATAAACTGTTAACAATATAGAGAAAATTTTTAAAAAGAAATTGAATATGACCAAAAAATGAAGCTGATTACCAAAATGCCACTTCATGCTTTAAAAATCATCTCAGCATGCTATGATTTTTATCCAAAAAAAAAGAGAAATCATTCAGAATATAAAGGTGCTTGAACTGTACTAAAGCATAACAACCACAGTGGAGAATGATTGTCATTCGCATGCACGGCAGGCTCCAGCATACAATACACAAAAAACACACCAGAGCAACCTGTACAGGTGTCTTACGTGTAAAACAGTGTAAAGAAAAACATTAGTTCAGAATATGGCAAACATATCAAAACATGCATTAGGTGGATGACTCATGTTTATTTCTGGTTAGGTTTTCATTAACCTTAATTAATTTTCTTTATGAAAACTTCTAAGAACTATTGTTATTTTTAAACTGTTTATTCTAGATTATTAAACAAAATGGCAGAGAACTTGCCAAAGTGAAATCACTGTGCTGAATCCTCCTCTTCGATAAAAATATTAGTTTTTTTTACTGCATGGGTAAGAAATTAGAAATATTAAGCAATTATCACTAAATAGAATTTTGGATCAGAATAGTATGTAAAAATTTTTGGTAATTAGGAACAAGACAATAAAATTGTCAATTTCATTTCTATACAGACTACTCAGCCCACGATATGGTGTAAGGACTGGTCTTACTCAATAAGCTTGCAATTTTTGTTGAAGTGGAAGGTAGATGAAAAAAATGATTTAATTATCATCTGCTCCACAATGGTCAAAAGCTGAAACATAATTAAAACTCAGACTCCAGACTTTCCAAGCCTATTTAACTAATACAAGTTAACTTAATTCACTATCTATAAAGTGTAGATTTTAATGACATATCTGAGTAAAATTTATATATGGGAGATAGTTATCAAAACGTAAAAAACAAACACATGACACAAATCATAATAACTCAATAAGCTCCAAAAACGAGATGTTATCTAGACTTTACAGTTAAGACAAGTTTATTGACACTGGGAGATATGATATACTAAGATTGTATACAATAAGTTGTTTTAAGTTTAAAAATAACAGGCTGAGAATAATTTCAAATACATTTTCAAAAATAATCTTAATGTACAAATGTGTAATCTCCTTTTCCTGATGGTTTATAAAATAAAGAAATATTGCATCTAGTTCTACCATATGATTTATCTCTGTTACACCTTACATTCAACATCCAGTGTCATCCACTTATGGTTCTCTGTTATAACCATTAGCCTTTTACTTGATTTACAGAAACACATATATAGTAAAAAAAAAAAAAAAAGAACACAAAGTCATCCACCTGAACTATAACTGACAGGAGTTATAGGCACATAAAAATAATCTGAACTAATGTTTTCCAAGTCTGTTATAGAGAGTCAACTCAGACCTCAGAACTGCCATCAGCTGTTGTCAGTGTTCGCCAGCTGTCACCATCACTGCTATACTGGACAACATATTCTGTGACAAATTCCATACTGTAGTCTCGGCCTTGAGTCGCTACAGCATGAATAGACTTTCTCTCTTTGAGATTTATTGTAAGGAACTGGTAATAATCATTATGTTGTGCAGTCCACGCAGAAGCACCTGCAGGATAGAATTGAAAGCTTATAAAAGTAAATAGCACAAGTGGGGTCCCAGGAAAACAATTTCTAGTTTCTGAAAATGAAAGGTTAAATATTACTTGTACATTCTTCCAAACATTGTCTGCTACTTAAAATATCTCATGGTTCTACCTCTACTCAGGATAAGTAGATTCTCCAAACACACTTCAACAAAGTATTACATACATCAGTATTTCACAGATAGTTCAAATAATTTTCTTCCAATACACAGAGGAAAAAATACTAGTAAAATTCATGATCTATTAACTTATTAAACTCAATCATTTCTTACAGAATCAAAAGTCCCTCTAGAAGAACAAAGTACATAACTGTACAGGTTCTTTCAATTGACCATCACCGAGACACTCAAAATACTATAATCACTGAAGACGGAGCATGCATACCCTTGTGTTTCCTTCTTTATCTTTATATTCAGTATAATCCATTCCATTATTCCCATACTCCAACCGATATTCTTGGACAAACTCAGATGTGTAAGGCCTACCCTGAGTTGCTATGGCAGTAATGTTTTTTTTTTCCTGCAGGTCAAGGATCAAGTACTGGCTGAAGTCAGAGTTTCTTGCTGTCCATGCTCCACTCCCTGTAGGAATTGACAGTAGAGTGGATATGTTTCTTACTTACCATGAGTTGTTATTAGTCATTCAGGATCCCAATACCATTAGCAGCTGTTACAGTTAGTCCAAGAAAAAAAGCTAAAGGACAAAAGGTGAGGGAACATGCACATAGCATAAGCTTTTCAAAGTGTACTTACCTCAAGAGGTCATTGTTAATAAAATCATAACATCAGTTAGGAATCAGATGTATATGTGCAAAACAACAAAACAAGCAAGAGTTAATGTGAAGACATGAAAAAAATAATTAATTTAGATGTTACATGTGTACTTACCAAGAAAGTAGTAAAGCAAATAAGTGACAGCAGTTATTATTATGCAAATATATTAAACGTTAGTTTGCTGAGCAAAAAGATAGAGCATGCACAGAAATAACACAAATTCCAGAATTTAAATTTAACCTATGACATTCAGCTCATTTAACCAACAATTTTGAAATATTTACTCACATAAAAATAATGTTACAATTTATTTTAAAGCATAAAATATTGCAAAGATTTTGTTAACTTTGCTATACTTTTATGCTAAAGCCAAATTTTACAGACTATTTCTTGATAATAATAACAGTCAGTAAACTAGTACTTTGAATAAAACTTAACAGACAGATTAATGGTTTAACATCCAAATACACTTCTGCAGTTGTGTTTTCTTGATACCTATAACAATGAGTATACAAGAAGTATTAACAAATTTTGGTTCTACACTAATAATAATCAATAAAAAATAAATAAAAACTACTTTACAGCATTTGCAAAAACTCTACTAAATCAAGTAATGCCTTAATATAGGTTACTTAGATGACAAAACATCTTGAACACTTTTTATCTTTGATCAGACTGACATTATAATCAGAAGTTGTAAGCTGAAGTACTGAAAGTACAACAGTGAAATACTTGAATGTAATATGCCAATTTAGTAAACAATTAAACTATCATTAGACAGTACTAATACATGTATATGAGGCATGTCATGTATAGCTTCAACCATACTGAACTTATGTAAGAATTCAATTTATTACTGGAAAAAAACATGCTTATGTTCAAGTTGCCAAAACAAGTCAAAGTTTATATACTGAAAATATATTATTTAATATTTATGCCTAATAGGTAGATTTGGACTAAAACTAACTAAATTCCTAATTATTTGGAACACAGGTCAGACAAAGCATCTGACCAAAGTAGAATTATTTTAATCTACCTGAATAACCATCTATTCTACACTAATTTATCAGGTACTTTACAAAAATGGTCTGTTAGAATAGCTACAGTAAACATTTATTGCCAAGCTGACGGATAATGCTACATAAGATATGAATAGTTCAGTTAACTGAGGTACATATATGGTAAAAAAAAACAGTTGGATAATCAAAAAATCATAAATTACTGTATCAATACCATAGAATTCCACTATAATTTATCAAGCTTAGTAGCTAAGCTGTATTTCAGTCTAAAAAAAATATGAAATTTCAAGCAGACTAAAGACACAACCTACCTCCTTGAAATCTTGGTTTGAAAGAAAGAGATGGCATCTAAACATGTTAAAATGGCTGAGAAAGGCACTAGAGGGACATTCTGAGCTTTTGATTGGTTATTCATGTCATATATAGAAGTAAGTGAAAAAGGTGGGTGGGGTGCCACTGTGTTTGATTCATTACGTGGGCAATATCTTAGCATATAGAAAAGATAAGAGATTCTTATTTTATATTCTAGCTTGTCAATATCGGTAATTTGATTTCCTAATTTGTATGATTTTTGTTTGTATGTTTGACATCACAAACATCTAATTTGAACCAGTGCTGCATTCAACATACCAAGTGACACACAAAAATCAATGTTTTAACTGTTTTTTTTAATATTTCCTTTTAACTTATGAAACTGAGTAATGTAAAATACTAATATTTTAATTATAATCTACAGTTTGATAGCAGACTTATTGACGTAAATTCATGAAATAGTAGTTCAATAAAACTTTGAATGGGAGTCAACAAACACGATGACATGGCCTTTCACCCATGACCTGTCTGGAAAGGGTTAATATTTTATGTTTAGATTGTTTACATTTACAGAGTAAATAACACCATCTGTTCCTGATATTGTGCTATCGATTGGCCCAAATTCATAGATGCAGAGCTTGCCTATCAGCCGTATCAGAATTATGGACAGCTTTATAATACCATGCGAAAACAACCCATGGAAATTTTAAGGCATAAAGTGTTAGTAAAACAAAAAATAGTAAAAAGTTTACTCACAAAACAATCTTATCATTTTATTTTTTATCCCATGGAAATATTAAAGCATAAAATAAAAGGAAAACAAAACATATCATGAATTATAATTAGGTTAAAATCTGAAATTTGATTTCAGGGTTTTAGTTAACCCGAGCTTCCAGATCCTGTATGCACGAGAATTTGTTGGGATGCATGAGGTTTCAACACCCCAGGTACCAAATACACATCACATAATGCCCCACAAGCATGGCAAGCACAAGTACTTTGTACCATAATGAAACTAAACAGTGTACAGTTTGCACATAGCAGTCCACAATCAACTTTTAACAGGTTTCATCCATGACAATAAATTGCACAAAAATGAAAGTACCACATGACTAACTTTTTCACCTCGGGAAAAGTGTATAACTATAACACAATAAATAGAGATTAAAAATCCCTATTACATCTCCCAAGATGAGCCATGATCCTATAGCATCTCCGACTCTTCTAACCCTCTTTTTAATCAGATTTCCAAACATTTGTTATTATTAATCATAACAAGTTAATAAACTGTACTGAAATTTCATATTTTTTTCATTTTAATATACTATTGTTATCCAGTTAACCTCTTACAAAACTATATTTTAGTATTTGCATACTTAAAATAATTTTCTGCAAACTTACCATAAAGTCTGGCTTTTTCAGGTCTCCTTTCATCAGAGAGAAAAGAAGTAGCACTTATACTAGCATCTTTTAGTAAGGCCTTATTGCACAAAGCTACAAAACAAAAGTGTTAGCATTAATATAGCTCTACTAAAACTTGTACCCATAAATCTAAGCATGTCTAAATTATATATATATATATATTGTACAATCACTAACTGGATGCAATAGTTTACTTAACAATAAATTTTAATTCAAGTTTCACATAGTCCAATTCAAACAATTAATTTGCTAACCTAAGAGTTGTAAGCTATTGTCAAAATATGTATTAAATTAAATGCTTTTGATAAAATTTTATGGACTGATACAATGAATCATTCAGTAACTACCATTAAAAACAAAAAAACTAAAGTAAATAGTTTTTCACAGTAAGGATAATGGACATAAAACTCATTTTGTCAAAAGTTCATGAGTGAAAATTTAAAAAAAATTTTTAATATCCAATTTCACTATCAATACCATCATATTGTTAGTCAGTACATATAAATGTAGAGAAAATATCAGACCAGAACCAACTAAATACAAGGTCTTGTGAAGTAATTACAAAATAAAATCAATACAATTGTGAGAGATGTTTTCAGTAGCATCACCCATAAACTTTTCAGTAACTATTCTTTGTTAATAAGAACTAACTACAGTAGGGCATAATGATAATATAATTAGTGAAAAATAATGGAATTCTTAAAAGTGCTACTGACAATTAGGAGTTAATGTTCATAGACAATTTAAAACATTACAAAAAATTCAATACATTTTAGGAGAATTTCTAAGCTTTTATTTTTCTGTTACATTTGGCACGATATTTCCAATTTTTGTTGTCATTTACTAATATTACAAAAAATATAAAACATCAACTTTAATGCTCTTGTTTTCTTTTTTTTTTAGAATTTCTGGACTGTGTAATAACAAGGAAACCAATACAACTCATAAAACTAAATTGCTAATCTAAGAGAAAATAGCTGTTGTCAAAATATGTAATAAATATTTTTTGTTGAAATTTTAAAGTTTTATAAACTTATACAATTACTTTACTGTGGTTTATTGGGTAATTACTATTTAAGAAATTGAAATATACATCTTAGTAAACTCGTAAAAACTTAGTATGCACAGTCATATTTATTTCATGACTCACAATCAGGTGTGTGCAAGTCCCTTTTTTTAGTTTCTGGGCTATTACACAAGCATGAACATAAATTTTATGTTTCTATATAACTAATTTCAAAAGTTTCTTAATGCTCAGAAGTTAACTAATATCAAAAATAATAGGTCTAGAAAATAGCCCATAAAATTACAAGCCTATTTGTCTGATTCTTATTCTTAGAAAAGTTTCTCGTAACATCCCATAAAATTTAAAAAAGACTTTATGGTACAATTACCTCTCGAATCCTGTTTTTTTTTTACTTTCAACCTTCTTTAGGGAAATCATATGGGTGCCTAAGGTTTTAGGATTTTGTCAAAAATATTTAATGTGAACTTTTTTGATTTTTTTTACCTTGGTGAGGAAGCTTACTTTGTAACCCACTCATGTTTTAAGTGTGTCTTTTAAGTTGAAAAACCTCTTCAGAATAGACCACAACAATTGCTGTGATGTTATCTTGATTAATACACTTAAAACAACATATTTTCCCCATGGACTTGATGTCCTTATTTTGAAGACTGAATTTAGTTTATACAGTGCATACATGAAAGTGAAGGGTTACTTTTCATTCTGTTCTTATGTCTTGCATGATTGTTTGTGGCAGATGACTGGTCATCTCTGTGAGCCAAATGACCTTCAGTCACTTGCTCCTTGTCATTGTTTTATTTGTGATAAAATACATTACAAAGAAAGAGAAATAACAGATTTTCTTTTTTTCATGAACACAACTGTTTCAAACACTTATTTGAACAACTACCAATTTAGTGTTCCAGTTGTGATACTTGAAGATGGCCAATATAAATATAAGAGATACTGGGCATGACTTTTAAAACTTAAGCTAATTATGGTTGTTACTACAGAAGGAGAATTGGGAGTCACAGCAGATACCAAAGAATTCCATATAATTCAACTATAAACAAGTACCAAACTAAACATTTGTAGCTGCTCTATAACTTGTGAAGTGAAAATAGTTCAGTACCAGACAAAATGGCAACATCCATGAGTAGACAAATAAGAAAAAGAAGTGAAAAAAATCTGTCTTTTCACAAAATTCTTATTCCTGTTCTTAAATTGCTGAATGACAAAATAGATTAATAATGACTTATTAAATTTAAATTAGGTATTATCTCTTCACATGTATAATGTATGTTACAACTCTTGTTCTAATTAAAAGATGTTTTATGCATTAACTTAATATGAATTTTATTAAACTAAATACCACAATTTGTACAAATCACTTTTTTTCACACATTCAAAGCAACCATGTTGAAATAATAAAGATTCTAGTATGGATTCAATCACACATGCTCAGATAGCACTATAATGCAATCACTTTGGATTTAAAAACCTTAGTAACAATACAGTAATATTAACTACATCTTTGCCATATTGCATAAAGAACCATGATAGGTGAAGGTGGACATTCAATATTTTCTTTGTCCTCTACTGTAGGTTAAATTTGGTCAGGTTTTGCTTGCTTACATTATGATAAACTTTGGTTTGGTTATTTTACATTAGTATAGTATGTAGCTCACCTACTTTAGTTGAAAATAATAATACACAGTCAAATAAACCAAGTATATGACCATTGTGAAAGCAATTTACAGTTTTGATTGCATACACTACTATTTTAGACTATTACATACTACTAGTTACAACTTGGTAAGCTACAAACTAATCAAAATTAGTCTAACATAACCACATGTAGTCTACAATAAACTAAGCTAACATAATCAGACCAAACTTAACACAGATGATATAAAATATATTTAAAAAATATAGTAATTCTGTCATTGACAATCATGGCATTTTGTAAAGTTACTAAGTTCGATAAATGTAGACAACTATTAATATTTCTATACTGTTACTAATGCAGAAATAAATAATAATAATTTTCAGCATACAAAAAAAAAATTACTCAAGATAAGAAGATCAATTATCATGGGTTACATTCTAATGTTTAATCTTAGAATTTGAAACTTATGCCTTTGCCTACTAAAAAATAATAAGTAACTGCCTGAATCATACTGATAGTGGTGTGTATACACTATACTGTCTGTAGCCTCAGCCTTTGTAGTCTATTAATTATTGATATCATTAAGTAGGCTAATTTACTAAAAATAATACTATTAGTATTAGCAGTACCACTAATACTACTAATTAAAGTAATACTGTGTAAATTATAAACATTACTACTATGACTCGTATAAGTCGCTTTCTTCAAAGTTTAACTTTATTTTGTGATAACAACGTGAACATTACTCGACCTATATTGGGCTTACACTGCTGTATAATTACAAGTTACAAATACAATGTTTGTTACCATTGGCTACCTGACTGCTGTCGTTGATAATATAAACATAGGTTATATATTAAGCCTAACGGAATACAGTTCCAACTTGACCTTAGTATATTTGAAACAACATCCAAATATCCTTTTTTCTGTAATATTAGAAATTTTAGACATACTCACCATCCGCAGAAACAATTGAAATGTGTAACACAAATATCCATGAAATAAAACTTTTCTTTTTCATTTTCGGTCACTACAAATTATTATATAAAATACGTCACTTATCATCTAGTAGTAGTTTATATCTACAGGAAACGAATTCCTCCACCCCAAAGTTGTTCCTATTGGGTGTTTCGAAACAACGTCTTATGTCACACCCTCTATGATGTGAACCAAATTAAAAAAAAAAGAAGAAAAGTATAAATCCTGAGAAGTGCACAACATTTTAATTAAATGTGTATTATTTCCATTTTACATATAAAATTATGTGTTCAAGAATATGTTAGCAAAAGAGAGATACTAACGTATCACTATAGGTACTTTAAGATGGTCGTAATAAAGTTCTTGCTTTTGAAAAAACTAATAGTTATTAGAGAAAGATGATACACTTACAACGCTAGAAACCGGATTTCAATACTTGTGGTGGGCAGAGCACAGATAGCCCATTGTGTAGCGTTGTTCTTAATTACAAAAAAGAAATAATCTATTCAATTATTTTTGTTGTCCCTTCTTATTATGCCAAACTTTAATGTCATCAGCAAATTTAAATAATCAATTAACCATTCCTTTATCTATGTCATTGATGTAAATAAAATAGAATACAGATCCTAACACTGAACCCTGAGATACCCCACTCGTAACATTAATCCATTTTGATTGAACTCTATTTATAAATACCCTCTGCTTTCTCCTCTCCAGTCAGTTTTCTATCTAATTAGCCAACCTATCCCCTTACACTTACAGAGATATTTTTATAACAAGCTTTTTTCCGTGACAACTTGTCAAATGCTTTCTGAAAATCCAGATATATCACATTCATCTATGTAAGTAATAATCTCTTCAAATATTGTCAAATGATTAGTAAAGCAAGATTTTCCCCTAGTGAAACCCTGCTAGCTATCCAACAAAATTTTAAACTTTGTTAAATTACTTTATAAAGAATCTTTTATCGGATTTTCAAAATATTTTGTCACCACTAATGTAAGACTAATAGGTCTACTTATAATCACTAAGTCAGTTTTCATCACTTTCTTAGAACAGAGGAGTAACATTACCTAACTTCCAACATTCTGACACCTGCACACTATTCAAAGACGTAGAAAAAGTAATAACAAGTGACTCACATATCCAATCCTTAACCTCTTTCAAGACCCTTGGGAAATATTATCTGGCCCAGGTACTTTATTATTTGTTAAACTTCCCAATTCTTTCTTGGCAAGCTCAGATTTAAAGTGATCACTTTATGCAGCTTTTTTCATTCAATAACTGTTCAGGTTGAATAATATTGCTTAAATATTCATTAGTAAAAAATTTAAGAAAAAGTAGAACTTGATAACGCAACCATGCCATAATCATCAAACACTGACCTTCTGGTATTATCCCTCAAAGGCCCTATTCTCATCTCCCTTTGTTTCTGGGTTATCTAGTGGTTTTCTATAGCAAAGCAGTAATCCAACATATCATAAAAATCGATCACCTTTATTCATGTAGTATCATTTTTCTGGAGCAGACCATGGGGTGCTAAAAAACTTCTCATACATATAACAACTATGCGTAACTCCTCCATGTACAGTGAGGGAGTAGTGTTCTTTATTACTACAGAAAGTATTGTTACGTCTCCGTTCGTTCGTTAATTTTCCGTAAATTCGTTCCGACAAAACTTTAGCGACACAAGTCCTTTCTTAAATAAAACTGGTTTATTCTTTCCGAATACAACTTTACGATACACTTAATTTCAACAGGTGCTCTATAACAAACGCTATAACTCACGTCTCACGTGGCCAACAATATTCTGTCCACATACATTCAATTACTCATTACCTCCCCGTCGCTTCGTGGCTGGTCTTATATATACAAGACTATACTATATCTAGAAGGATCACGAGATTTAAGGAAAAGACGTGAATGTTCGAGAATGATGTGGCGTGATACTAGTCACGTGACCTCGATGTCGTAACAGTATATTGGGTGGTTGTAGCTTTCAATGAAGTAGGTGATAACGAACGTCTCACGTGGCCAACAATATTCTGTCCGCATACATTCAATTACTCATTACACTGTTGTCCCGTCACGTTGTGATCGTCTTATATATACAAGACTAACACATATCTAGTAAACGCTAGGGCATTCATGAAGGAACAGGATATTTCTAGAAAGACGTGGCGTGATACTAGTCACGTGACCTCGCTGACGAAACAATATATTTAGTCTTTATGAGCAGTAGCTGTTATGGTGGAAACCAGATTTTATGCTACTTAAATGTAAGTGTTAACAGTTTTTTGTTGAAGTCATTTACAAAACAAATGTCCCCTGGTGGGACAGCGGTAAGTCTCCGGATTTATTACGCTAGAATCAGAAGTTCGATTCCATTCGATGGACGCAGTAGATTGCCCGATGTGGCTTTGCTATAAGGAAAAAAAAACGCTCACAAACAGGTTTCCAGGGTAAGAATTAATAACACAACATTGTTTTTATTATTTTTAAAAATATATACACCAATTATTTATACACATTAATTATTGTTGTTTTTAATTAACTTTATTATCATTCACAAGAACTAGTGAACCAACAAGCTAGTCTTTTGTTCCCGACTAACTTAGACTAAATACAAATTTCCCAAGTAAATGTCTATATTTCTTGACTGAAACAGATACCAAGTGTGGACAGTGTGGATCTGCACTTCCTTATTGAGTCAATTCATTCTCACCAGTTGGCTTCACAGAAAGGTAAATTTAGGTAACCTTAATGAAATCAGAATTATAGCGTTTGTCATAGAGCGACTGTTGAAATTAAGTATATCGTAAAGTTATATTCAGAAAGAATAAACCAGTTTTATTTAAGAAAGGACTTGTGTCGCTAAAGTTTCGTCGGAACGAATTTACGGAAAATTAACTAACGAACGGAGACGTAACAATATATATACATATCACCTAGATCAGTGTTTCTCAATCTTGTTTTGCTCGTGGCTTCCTTTTGAGTTTGATTTATCTCTATGGCCCCACCCTTCGTAGACGCTTTTACTTAGGGGGGGAACGTTACTTTATTTTCACACTGTTGATTTATAATTATGTATTACAATATCATATTGTTTTTAAATATAATAACAATATATTTTGTTTATAACATACTGTTTACTTATACAAGTAAAAAATATTGTGTTAATCATTGACATTTTATTCAGTATGATCCTTGGGCCTGATGAACACTTGAAAGTTTTTGAATGTCCGGTTGCAGTGTGGTCAGTGATAAGCGAAGATCAACTCTCTTCACAACACCGAGAATGTTACGTATTTTTGATAGCAATTAAGTCACCAGATTCAACCAGATAAGATGTGGGAAAAGCGATAAAATACAACTTTGCGTTATCCCAGAGCTGTGGAAACGTACTAGCTATTTCACTACTTATCCAGAAATAATGTTTCTCACATTTGAATCTAGCCTGGGTTGTTATATCACTCTGCTGCTCTTGAGAGTCAGTCGAAAACATTCACAGATACCAGACAAACATTTTGATTGTGACTCGAGTACTAGTCGCGTCTGGTAACTTGACTTCTGAGCTGTGGGGGATAAGGGGAGAAGGGAGCCTTTGATTCAATTTTAAATATTTTATTCAGGCCCACTCAGAATTTACAGTGGCCCTCTAATCTTCCGTCATTCACGTGTGGAAACATGGCGTGGACCCGTGGGAGGGGGGCATATGGCCCACGTTGAGAACCACTGACCAAGATCTCTTGATAAGCCCTGGTATTGGGCAAAAGGCCTATCGGCATTGGATATGGTAGATGTGGTAGTGTGGTTGATATATAAAAACACGTTCTCTTAAAATCTTAATTTCACTCATAATTAAGTTCTTTGAATTATTATCGTAATTTTTGCCTCTTGCCTCTGTGGTTGATTGTCCTGCCCTAGAAATAAGAAGTCTAACTTGCTAGTTCAGCAGTTCTTCTGCATGATAGCAAAGCTAAGCAAATAAAGTTTACGAAAGGTGATGATATATATGATGTCTAGACCATTAAAATAACTCTCGTGTGACACACAAAAATTGTACACAATCGGCTCTATTAGACCAGTGAATAGCCCAGCAGATTTATACCTATGAAAAAGAATCTCAAGAGAGACTACAGCAGTGGGAACTGGAACAAGAAAGGAAACAGGAAGAAAGTATCCAAAAGTTGCAGGAAAGTCAGCAGCATCTACAGGAAAATCAACAACAATGGCAAGAAGTAC